CAGCTAAGTGAACAAGATGATACCAGAGGATGGAAAATGCTCCGAAGGAACTCAGCACAGAGATGCAAGGGGAGTGAGTCCCTGGAATGATCATCAAGCAGGGCCCATAAGATGGTGCCATGTGAATAGAGACCCAAAGGATGAGAAGATGCCCAGGGAGGGGGAACAGCAAGTGCAAACGTCCTGAGGTGGGAACAGGTTTGGTGTTTCTGAGGACCAAAGGCGCCCAGCAGAGATGGACGGTAGTGAGGCAGAGCACATGTGGCGGAGAGGGTTTCAGTGTGAGCTCTGCCGCTAGGACAAGTATTGAAAGGCCGGGAGAACCTGGTTACAACCGGCTCCCACTTTCAGCCTGCCCTGCAGTCAGCTGCCACAGGGAGGAGAACTCCCAGAAAGACCCCAGGGCCTGCATAGGAGGAGTCAGCTGACAACCTTCACAGGAGCCGGAGCTCTGTTTGTATCAATGGTTCTCAACCCTGAGGAAGGGGGAGGTGCAGTTGCCCCCCAGGCAACACTGACAATGCCCGGAAACGGTTTTGGTTGTCTCAGCTTGGGTGGCTGGCGAACAGGGATGCTGCTTAACATCCTACAAAGCATAGGACAGCCGCCCATGACAAAGCTTTATGTGGCCCAAAATGTTCATACTGCCGTGGTTAAGAGGCCCTGGTCTGCACGTACAGTCCTGCTGAAATGCTGACAGCAACTGACTGGGGTCTGCTCCATGACTGGGCCGTAGGCCAAGGGCCAGCTTTGCACCATCACTCAAACCCACTGCAACCCACTCTCCCCCCTCAACTTCCTGCTCAGGAAACTTTCTCCCGACAACAGAGAGGGCCAAGTAGACTTCGACAGCTCCTCCCTGGTCAAGGGAAGCCGTTCAGCACCATTCCCTGTAGACAACGGCCCTTGACGTGCAAAAATGTGGTCCAAGAGAGCACTGGACGTTGAGGCCACAAGATTGAATATGAGTTACCTCTACACCCAACATCGGTTTCCTCCCCATGAACCTGTCTAGAAGCCACTCCATTTCCATGAGATCATGGGAGCCCCTGAGACCAGTTACTTCGCGCATTCATGTGGGGCAACACCCTGACGTTCCACTGTCCTATGGGAAGGGGTTGCCTGTAGGCTCTGGCTACGATGCTAAGTTTAGTTCAAGAATTACAGTCAGTCCCAGCAGTCAGGCAGGGGGCTTGCAGGGGGCTTGCTGGAATCCAGAGCTCTTGCTTTAGACACCCTGCTGCATGATTGTGAGTTGTCTGCCTTCTTCTCAGTCTCAGTTGTTTCATCTGTGAAATGGGAATGATAATACTTACCTTGAATGGTTATTATGATGATTAAAAATGATATGTCACCTAGGAGATGCTCAAAGTGCTGCAGCTAGTATAGTTATTATAATACTGGAAACAGAAGAGGGCACCAAGATCACCCTGCCCAACTTCTTCATTTTTAAAAAATATTCGTTATTGGTTTCAGATATGAAGGGAGAGGAAGAGAGAGATAGAAACATCAATGATGAGAGAGAATCATTGATCGGCTGCCTCCTGCACACCCTACACTGGGGATAGAGCCTGCAACCCATGTATGTGTCCCAACGGAATAGAACCATGACCTCCTGGTCCAAAAGTCAGTTGCTCAACCACTCAGCCACTCCAGCAGGCCAACTACTTAATTTTATAGATGTAGAAAAAGAAGAGGCTGGCTTGTTTTCTCAGTATTGAGGGGGGTAGAGAAGACATTACATGCATATATTACTGACAACGAAACTGGGGTCAAGTTTGAATCCAGATAAGCCCAAAGATTCAGCCCTCTGGACAACACCCAGGTAGACAAAGCCACTGGGATGCTGTGTGTTGCAACGCTGGCCAGCTACCTCTGAGCTCGGCATCTTCGGGCTGAGCCCCACAGGGAGGCATCACTGGGCACCTGCCTGCGTAGAAGACCTTTGGCGGCCTGACGTTGCACTTGGCTGGAACTGGACCATGAGTCCCTGCTTGACACTCTGCTGCAGTTCAGTCCTCACACTCCCCACCTACACACTGGACACTCCCAAACTCACTGCATCCCATTGATTCCAAGACACGTATTTTAATATCTCCGAAGTTGGCATGTGTCCTAGCTTCACTAGCAATGCTTTATCTTAGCGGTGCATGAAAGAACAGAGGTCTCACTGTCAATGGCATCCTAGGTTTGATGAAATGTGGTCCATACTTACTGCGAACACCCCTGGGATTCCAGATTCCCACATCATAACGGTTTTTCAATATCTCCCCTTGGACAGGGAGTAAATGTCTCAAACATAAATAATAAAATTAAATTCCTGACCTCCTAGTCTTCCCCTCTCAGCAATTGGCAATCCCATCCCTCTGGTTGTTCAGGTCAAAATCTGGGAGTCACCCTTGACTCCTCCCTCTCTGTCTAGGTCTACATCCAATCTATCAACGCATCTTGCTGATCCACTTTAAAATAAATCCTGAATTCGATCACCTCCCACCCACCCATGACCACCAACAGACCTCATCATCCTGTCTCTGACCTGGACTATTGTGATCACCTCCTAACTGGTCCCCTTGCTGCTCCACCCACCTACAGCCTCCGCCCAGTGCAGCACCCTGAGGGGGCGGGGGGGGGGGGGGTCTGTGGTTAAGACGGTTCCTCCTGATCCCTCCCAGCTCCCACAGTCACTGCCTGCCTCATTACTCTGTTTCATGTTTTAAATAACTTACAATTCTTTCCTTCCATATTTGCTGTCTGTTTTCTCCACCGGAATGCCAGTCCCATGAAGGCAAGAATTTTGTTTGGTGCCTACTCCCTACCCTCCAGCACAGTGCCTGGCATGTGGTAGGTGCTTCAAAAATACCTGTTGAAGCAGTCATTTCCCACCCGGTGATACTTTCGAGGGAACGTTGAAGTCAATAAACCTGGGTTCAGATTCTCAATCTACCTGTTCGTGGCTGTGTGACTTGGGAGGTTCATTTCAACTCGGAGACTATCTCATCTGCATAATGGGAGTAAAAACACCCACCTTGCTGGGTTGTTGTGAGGATTAAATTCATTCACGTGCATAAAGCCCCTGCCCAGTGGCTAACACTTAGCAGGAACTCCGCTGTCATTTAATACTATTGTCCAGCCTCTGATTTGGACACATTTCAGTGGGAGGAGAGCTCAGAGCAGAAGCGCAGAGGTGTGCGGGCAGTGGGGCAGGCAGACTTGGATCGGGGTCCTTGCCATGTCAGACATCAGCAGTGTGATATGGGACCAGCAGCTAACCCTCTGAGCTTCAGCATTCTCATGTGAAGAGGAGATAATGACCACATCTATTTCACAGACTGTTAGGAACATCTCTGGTACACACACAGCACACGGTAAATTCTAAGCAAATATTAACTCGCATTATTGCCATCTGACCTGGCTTCTCCCCTAAAGGCAGAGCTCACTCCCTACCTCCCACTGCTCTGAGCTCCGCCCGCCTGCCGTCCTGCTGGTACACATGTGGGAGGAGCTCGCCACGGCTTTTCTGTCACTACAGTGACCTGAGAAACGACAACACAGCGCGCAGCGGCAGTCCCCACACCTACCTCCTTGTGGAATGACTGGACCGCTAACGCAGGGCTCCCATCCTGCCCTCAACCTCCCCGGCCACTGTCCATGTGACCTGGCGAGGGACCGTGACCCTCCTGCTGCCACCAGCGTGCTTTGCTGTGTCCGCTGATTTCCATTAGGGAAGAGCTATGAGGAGCCTCCAGTTTTCCATTCTGAATATTCCACTTGACCTGCCAGCAACCCCCATGCTCTCCGTGAAGGAGGTAAAGGCTAGAGAGCCAATGTTTTTCCTTCTCTAAAGAAGCACTGTTGTTCCACACCAAGTTATCTTCCTGGCATGGAGCTCCATTCATTCAGAAGTCAGGACACTCACTCGTAGCAGGTGCCTCTGGTGTGCTCACGGGATCACTGAGTGATTTAGAGAGGTTCTGTGCAGTGTGAGAGGCCCAGACAATGAGTGTCCACTCCCCGCCCCCACCTCAGGATCGCACCCCACCCCACTGCCCTGGGGAACCCCCTGGACCTCTGTGTGGGAGCTCTGATTATGAACAAGGCAGACGAGGTTCCTGACCTGAAAGAGAGAGGGGGGGGGGGGGGAGAGAGAGAGAGAGAGAGAGAGAGAGAGAGAGAGAGAGAGAGAGAGAGACTGCTGCATGGAGAAAAAAAAAACTCTCCCTCCAGCAGTGGGTAAGGAAGCATGAACCTCAGGGACCTGGGATTCCATAGGAATAGGGGCCACAGGGGGCAAATTGGAACAAAAAAGAGTTTCTGCTGCCCTGGCCAGTGTGGCTCAGTTGGTTGGGTATGGTCATACACTGAAAAGTTGTAGGTTCGATTCCCAGTCAGGGCACATGCCCAGTTATGGGTTCAATCCCTGGCAGGGGATGTGCAGGAGGCAGCTGACATATGTTTCTCTCTCGCATCAATGTTTTTCTCTCCCTCTTCCTCTCCCTTCCTCTCTCTCTAAAAATTAATTTTAAAAAAGTTTTTAAAGAAGAGTTTCTGCTGCCTTATTTGCAAGGTTTGTGGATATAGCAATATAACAATGGCCTTTTGCAGATGTAGGCTCCCTCTAAAATGACAGCTGGCCCAGGGGAGTGATGGGGCCTCAGCAGAAAGAAAGCTTCGGGCTTTCTAAGGGGCTGCCAAGCCGGGGTGCCATCAGGATCAAGTGCGATCAGTCAGGCGGAGGAGCTGCAGGAGAGGCCCAGCGACACTGAGGTCGCTGAGAACCTGTGAGAGCTGCCGTGGCGTCAGCAGGTAGCCCCATCCCAGGAGTACGGGGCTGGCTGTTAGAAAGAACTTTCTTTTTTACAGTCCCCTTCTCCTTGCCCAGTCTTACAGCTTACAGCCAGTAAACAGAGTGAAGGAAGAAGAGAGAAAGACGGAAGAAACCGATCCTACCCACTCCCTGAGACAAGCCTGGCCTCGAAGCCAGCCTTGGAAGGGGAAGTGAGATCTCTCTCAAAACCAAGTGCAGAAACAGGTGCTAACAGCAAGTGGATCTTGTCGCCTTTGGGGGCTGTCACTGTGCCCCTCAAAGTGAATTGGAAGGTTCTACACTCTTGGAGAAAAAAACCAAGTGCAGAGTTTGGGTTAATACACAGGACGGGACACTCTACCTACAGAACTGAGAGCTCTGTGACATAAGGTATTACTAAGAGTAAACAGAAAAGTCACGGGGCCTCTTTGAGTTCTTACTTGGGTGCAGGGAAAAATTTCAGTGAGAGACAAGAATGAAATTCTGTTCACCCAAAGGTTGCGCTTGATTGAAATACCCAGGAACCAGGAGGAGCGTCCCCCTGGCCGGGTAGAGGCAGCGGAAGCCGTGTCCAGTGTCCACAGCAGCAGTGGCAGCGGTGCCGGTGGCTGTGGAGAGGTTGCCCGTGGGAGGCAGCCCTACAAGCTGCGGGGTTGGAGCAGCAGCGGCACGCTTGGCAGATTGGCAGGCACCTGGCCCGGTCCCTGCTGCCCTCTAGCTTCCCTCCTGCCTGCCCATCCCTGAGCCGTGGCCTCAGCCTTCTCGGCAGTCCCAGCACCACCTCCAATCCTGTCAATAACTTTGTTTCCTTACGCAGCAGGAGTGCTTTCTCTTTCTTGTCATCAGGAACCCTGATCAATATGCCCTTCTCCCCCTGGTCCTTTAAACCAGTCGGCGAAGCCAGCCCAGGTCCTCCCCCCGCATCCCAGGCTGCTCTCGGCTTGCTTCCAGCTGCAGGAGCCAGATTCCCTCGTCAACCAGCGGAACATTTGGCCAGGGGACTCTGGCCGGGATCCCATCTCTGGTCCGTCCAGTCTTGGTGACCGTGTTGCACGACAATTTGAGAAAGAGCATCTGAAGTCCTACCTGGGTTCTCCCATGTGCTGGCTACAGGACCGAGAGAGAATGACTTTTCCTCATCTGCAAAATGGGTACAACAATCCCCTCAAGGTATTGGCAAGATTAGAAGGGATTGTTGCATTTGAAGCACAGAGCACATTACCTGGCCATCAAAATACTTAATGAATGTTGTTAGCTGGTAACAATAATACTGGTGGTGGTAGTACTGGGAGTGGTGTGGTAATAGAAGGCAGTAGTGATGGTAGTACTGGTAGTGCTGTGGTAATAGCACAGCAGTAGTGGTGGTAGTACTGGGAGTGGTGTGGTAATAGAAGGCAGTAGTGATGGTAGTACTGGCAGTGCTGTGGTAATAGCACAGCAGTAGTGGTGGTAGTACTGGCAGTGGTGTGGTAATAGCACAGTTAGTAGTAGTGGTAATACTGGCAGTGGTGTGGTAATAGTAAGCAGTAGTGGTGGTAGTACTGGGAGTAGTATGGTAATAGAAGGCAGTAGTGGTGGTAGTACTGGGAGTGGTGTGGTAATAGTAGGCAGTGGTGGTGGTAGTACTGGCAGTGGTGTGGTAATAGTAGGCAGTAGTGTTTGTAGTACTGGGAGCGGTGTGGTAATAGTAGGCAGTCATGGTGGTAGTACTGGCAGTGGTGTGGTAATAGTAGGCAGTGGTGGTGGTAGTACTGGCAGTGGTGGTGGTAGTACTGGGAGCGGTGTGGTAATAGTAGGCAGTGGTGGTGGTAGTACTGGCAGTGGTGTGGTAATAGTAGGCAGTGGTGGTGGTAGTACTGGCAGTGGTGTGGTAATAGTAGGCAGTAGTTGTAGAGACAGAAACTTATCTCTGGATTCTCATATGAGAGGGGAATACACTTCTGTTTTGTTTAAACCACTGGTTTTCAGGTCTTTTTGTTACACAAAATAACACAGGCTTATTCTGAGCCCTAGTAGAGCATGCTAAACGAACATTCTGAATTTTAAAAATTAAAAAAAAGTTACATTTATACTAAGGTTAGAATTATGTGTAAAATATATGCTCATGCAAATACTGGAAGAGGAAATCATTATGCTAAGGGGACGGGATTATAGGATAAGTACTTTTTCTCATTGAAATGTCCTTTTGCTATTTTCATATTTCCATAAACTGTCTTTCAAGAGGACAATAAAACAATGTCCTTGAGAGTGGACAAATTCTGAACATGTTTATGTATAATAAGAGGAGAATGTACGCCTGAACCCTCCTTCAGCTGAAGGGCCTGGGACAATTTAGCAAATAAAAGACAAGACAGAAAGGACAGGTCTGCCCGAGTGATACCACGAGAATGGGGCCTGAGAACTGCCCTTCCTTCTGGGCAATGTGTGACAATGCCCACCTACCCCTTGGCTCCCCTGCCAGGACATGGGCAGCATTTCCAGGGGAGGTAGGACCAGCCCATGAGTCATCAAGACCTGGGTGTTAACTCTGACATTCATTCATCTCAGTATCCTCCCTTTTCTCCCTGGTGACTAGCTGCCCATAAGCCTGAAGACTATTGTTTTCTGGACCAAGGTTTCCCCTCACAGCAACTTCACCAGGTCACCAGATAAACACCTGGGGTTACAAACCAATGAGGGAGAAAGGTGAGACCTCCTGAAACAAGGTGATTATCTCCAGAAGGCCTGTCCGCTGGCCAAGGAAATGCAGGTGGGGCAGGCCATTGCAGGGCACCACGTGAATTTCTCCAGCCAGCATTTCACTGGGAACAAGGCCCTTCTCCCCGTCCTTCCCACAGCCCCCATCCAAGAGAAGTGCCCACGTCGCAAAGGTCCTACCATGGGGACTTCTCAACCTCTGCTGACATTCTCCTCTGGCGTGGTCCTTGTCACCACCTATCAGAACAAGACGTGTGGTTTTCCCTGTGGTTCTCTGCATGACTAACGCAGACCACAGGCCTCGATCCTCAGCCGCACCCCCTCTCTGTTCCACTCAGGCTGAGTTTGTTGACAGGCGTGAAGGATGCACATCCCATACCACTTACAGGATTTCTGCTGGAGTGGTTTGGGGTTGGCACATGGCAAAGCCTGAATGTTTCTGATGATCTGAAATATGATGTAGGGAAGAGGTTTCGGCTTGGTCACCTGCTTGCTGTGTGTCCTCAGGCAAATCCGTGCACTTCTCTGGGCCCCAGATTTGCCATCTGTCAATGGTACGATTGGACAAGAGAATCCTTTCTAGCTCTGCTGGGCTCTAGCTCTGTGAAGTCCACTCTGGTTTAAGGTGCTTCATTCTGGCTTGAATTTGTGACCTAGATGGCCATTTGAATGCCAATTCGATATTTATTTTATGGAGAAATTAACATATCATTCACAGGGTTATAACCCATGAGCCAATTCAAACCAGGGATTACCAGGAAGGGGAAAAAATGCTCTCTACAAACTCACTTAAATAGAATTGAGTTTATACAAACACTGGTCTTACACAATTCTAAATACTAAATGCTAAGTGTCTGTTAGCTAAGGCTGAGGGGCTTGGTCATCCCAATTTTAAATAATTGTAGGAAGTCCAGAAACTCCTAAGGAATGAATAGGAAAAGGACAATGTCTCCCAGAGAATTCCCTAGAGCTTATGTGGCTTAAGAAAATGTGGGAGTGGTGTGCTGAGGCTTCCCAATACGAAATTCAGATCTTAAAAATAAACAACATCTCAGCATTAGAATGGAAGCAGGACCCCTTTCCTAACCTTTCCAACTGCTGGTTCCAAGGACTGGCTCTTCTGCCCCCACCAGTGCCTGCGCTGACGTCAGCTCACCGTCTCCACAGCCCACAGCCCTGGGAGCTTGGACTTGCTAGATCAATGAAAACATCAACCTCGCCAGACGTGTCTGCCCCACTCCAAGCCCGCCATGGAGCCAGGGGTCCAGGCACGCAGCCGGACCATCTGTCATTAGGCGCTGCTGTTAATTGCTGTGCTAATGAACAAGGTTTGAAGGAAGGCACACATGCACATGCAGATTTAGACACAGTTCCTCAGTATCAGGTGCTGTCCCCTAACAGCCTGCATAGTCTGCAGGACATAAAGGTGGCCGAGTCACATCGTGGGCACAGACAGCACATAACCCTGTGGGCAGATGCTTCAAACAGCAAGTGTTGAGACTTTTCAGCCAACGCTCATTCATCCATCCATCCATCTATCCCCTCAACAACCAATGGCTTTATGGTGGACACTGTGTCAAATGCCAGGGCTCCAGAGATGACAGGGATGTACTCCCTGCCCCCAGGGGACCACAGCCTAGCAGGGGAGAAGGACAGCTGGACATACATTGTGATAAGTGCTAAGAGAGAGGTCAGCCTAGGGACTGGGAGAACCCAGGGAAGGGGTTATCTAACAAGTCTGGAAAGATTTCCTGGAGGTGGAGAGAATGTCTGAGCCAAATTTTTAAAAAGGAGCAGAGGTTACCTAGGGAAAGAATGGAGGAGGGCATTGCAGACAGGACGAGGAGGTAAGAAAGACAGCAGACATCAGAGGAAGCACCGGGGGTTGGGTGTGTGATGAGGAGTGAAGGTGAAGACACTAGGGGAACAAGGTGAGTATGCTGGAGAGGGAGACGGGGGACAGATGGTGAGGAGCCCCGAAGAGCTATCACCCTGCAAACCTTGATGGAGCTCTTGTACTGTGCAAGGGATGGGACTAGGTCAATGTGGGCCCTGCCTTCAAGGACTGTGACAAGCAAGGGACACAAGTGATGGCACATATTGGCTTGGAAGGAGAAATGCCAACAGTCTAGATTAGTCAGAGAAGGTCTTGATGCAGAGGAAGCCAGAGCTGGGCCAATTTCAGGCAGAGCTTGGGCAGATGAGTCAGTGTTAGGGGACAGATGCTTTGAGTATGTAGATTCATCAAACCAATGAGGCCATCCCATCCTCCCATTTTCTAGGTAAGGAAACTGAGACCCAGGGAGCTTAAATAGTTTGGCAGCTGGGAAGAGGTACAGCCAGGAGTCCGACCCCTAATATGCCCGTCTTCAGAGCCTGTGCCTTATGCATTATCCATGCTGCTTCCCAAAGCCTTCCTGGTAGAGGGAACGGCATGAGCAAGGATGGTGGGGAGACGTGTGGAAGGCACTTAGGAGCCAGTCAGGAGGAGAGAGTGTGTGGAGGAGACTGAGGCCTGGGTATGTGGGTGATGGCCTCAGAGCCCAACAGTCCATGGACAAGTGGCTCACCCTCTCTTGTCCTCCCTGGAAACTTCTTGTGGTTGTT